CCAGGCTACCCTCCGATGGGCTCCTGTGTCCCAGGCTACCCTCCGATTTACGATACAGCTAAAGATGACTTTCAACTTCTGTCCCTCTACGTCTTGATTGGTAAGACTACAAATGTGGGCATCACACCCAGTTCATGCAGCCAAATGTGGGCATCACACCCAGTTCATGCAGCCCTGGGGACTAAACCCAGGGCCGTGTGCGTTCCAGACAAGCACTTCACAAACTAAACTGTTTCTAGCACCACATCAATGAACTTTGACAGATTCATGCAGTCACATGAACACAGCGATATCCCTTCTGTGCCTCTGTGGCCAATGTGCCCTTCTGTAGCCTGGACCTCAAGGATAGAAGGTACACCATGGGGTGATGATACTGACTTCTCTCACTTCAGCTGGCACTGTGGCCCTGTGTCACATGTGCCTTTGGCTTGGTCTTTCATTTGGAGAGGCGGAGAACAATGTCCATCTTTGCATAAGTTGATGTACATTTGAGCTGACTCTGAGTGCATGTGTGTGTGTGTGTGTGTGTGTGTGTGTGTGTGTGTACATGGCAGTATCTGGTGGATACACACTTTAGGTCAATATCTAAGAGTGAAATTCTTAGGCTCAAAGTAAGTGGATATTTACCTTCATAAAATACTTCCCAATTGTGTCCCAAAGTAATTTGCCATGTTATATTCTACACAACCAGGAAGAAAGGCCTAGCATACGATGCCTTTGTCGGCATTTAATCCAATATTTTAGCTTTAGCCACTGCAGGAGCCATGCAATACAATCTCAGTGTGTTTTTAATCTGCATTTCCTAAATTATTAAGGAGGTTGGCATTATCTGTGTTCTCCTATCTTCCTCCATTAAAATATTTTCCTCTTCCCCATCAGTGATCCCTTTACAGTCTCCTGGATTCTCTAAGGACTCCAAGTCAAAGTTACAAATCTAAAGATTCAATACTAAAGATCCACATAGGAATGAGAACATGTGCCACCTGTCCTTCTAGGTCTGGGTTACATTAATCATTATTATGTCTTCTGGTCACAAACTGCATCTTTCTGTACAGCTGAATAAAATTCCATTGTGATAGAAACTGCAGAGTCAACTGTAGGAAGTTAAGGCCTCCCAGGCACAGAGGAGCCAACCTGGAAGCTACCTGGTGCTGTCAGAGGTCCTGATCATGCCTAGCCAATCAGGGGCGACATTGTGCTATCAATGGATCAAAACACCTGAGTGCCGGGAGGATGCAGAAGATTTTGCATGTGAGTCTGCTGCATCCCTTTCGATGGACTCCTGGTGTCTATGTCATTGACTCTGAGCCTTCTCAACACCTCCCCCGAGGAAGATGATAGGGCCCATCTACATTCAACCATGTAGACAAATGAGGAAATATCATTTGTCTGCAGAAGGCAACAATCCTACATACACGTGAGATCTCTGATCATTCCTTTCCATACAACTTTTTAAACTGCCATTCTAAATATTGTTTACCTTTTCTTGAGTTCAATATCTTTGCTGATAAAGTGTACTAGATTGTGAAAGCAAACAAGAGAAGATCAAGTAAAGCTACTTCTCCAACCCCATCACCCCAAATCCCACTGTGTACGAATACTGTATTTCCATTATCCATTCATCGGATGATGGACATCTACTCTGTTCCATGTCCTTGCTATTGTGAGTAGAGCATCGGCTAACATGGATAAGCAGGTATCCCTGCAGCAGGAAGCAGGGTCCTGTGAGCACGCAGCCAGGGGTGGCATGGCTGGCTCAGACACCAGGTCTGTTCTAGTTTTCCAAGGCACAGCCACACTGGTACCCACAGTGGCCACACCAGTTTATGCACTCACCAGCTGTGCATGGTGTTCCCTATGCCCCAGGGCTATACCAACATTCTGTGTCTTTGTTTTTTTACCCTTAGCTATTCTGCCTGGAATATGACAAAGACTCAAAGTAGCCTCAGTTTGTGCTTCCTTGATGGAGAAATACAAATATTTTAAAAGTACTTAGTGCTTCATTGGCGCGTCTTCTTCCGGGAACTCTCTGTGCTGTTCAATAGCCCAATTTTTAATTGAGCTGTTTGCTTTGCTGGTGTTTGGTTTTAAGCTCTTTGCATACTCTAGACACCCATCCTCTGTCAGGTGTATGCATGGGTGGCAAACTCCTTCCCCAGTATGTAGGCTGCCTCTTCAGACACATAGCCCGTCCCTTTACATCTGCAGAAGCTGACGAATTTCAGGAAGCTCCGCTTGATGCCAGCTGGTCCCATTTCCTGGGTGATCAGAGTCCTCCTCAGGAAGTCTCTGTGTGAGCAGCTATCCTGAAGTGCACTCCTTACTCTTTCTTCCAGAAGCTTCAGAGTTTCGGATCTAACACTGAGACGTTTGATCCATTTGGAATTGGTTGGGGGTGGAGGTGAGAGAGAAGAATCAAGTTTCATTTTTCTATATGGAGATATCCAGTTTTCCCAATACCATTTGTTATGGCAACTTTTCTCTGATGTGTATTTCTGGCATTTTGTAAAAAGAATTCAGGAGGCAGTAGGTGAGTGGACTTAGATCTAGGTCCCCAGGTCTAATCCACTAATCAATGGACCTGATTGGCCAGGGCCACGTTTGACTACTCTGACTTTGCAGTAACCTGAAACTATGAACAGAAATGTCTGCAGCACAGTTTTTGCTGCTCAGGATTGCTTTGACTAGTTAGGGTCTTTCGTGCTTCCATATAAATTTTAAGATGTGTTTTCAATTTCTGTGAAGAACTGCAAAATTAGAGTTTGTATGAGACTGTATTGATCTGTAGATTGGTTTTGGTCGATGGCCACTTACACAGTATTAATCCTACCGATCCATGTGCATGGGCGGTCACTCCCTCCTCTACTGTTCTCTTCGAATTCCTCAGTGTTCTATAGTTCTAGCTGTATAGGTCTTCCACCTCCTTGGTTAGGCTTGCATATGTTGTGGGTCTGGGTTTTGTTGTTTTGTACTGTACTGTAAATGGGTTGTTTCCCTGATTTCCTTCTCAGTCCACTCGTCATTGGTAAACAGGGAGGCTATGGAGCATGTTAACTGTGTAATCCACCTCTTTGCTAAAAGTGTATGTTAGTCTGTAGGGTCTCTTGACATCTGGACAGTGATGCTTTGAATTCTTGCTTTCCTATTTGTGTTATCATTTTAAAAACAAATATCCAGTTGCTCAACACCATTTGTTGAAAAGATAACCTTGATGTCTGTGTAAAAATCAATTGAGCACAAAGTCAGGGGTCTCCTCCTGTTCATTCCTTTAATTGATGTGTTTATGTGCATGCCAACAGCCAACAGTCATAATTATTAAATCTCTATGCATGACTTTAACATGCTCAGTATGGGTTTGCCCACCATGTTCTTACTTTACAAAGGGGTAGCTACACTAAGTCCTTTGCACTTGCATGTAATGTCGAGTCATCTTAACATGTTCTGTGAGAAGACATGCTACAGTCTTGACTCGTGGGCACAGGGTCTCAGGGTCTCTTTGAAAAGAACTGCCTATCCGTGTGAGTTTTCTGAACACTGACTTGAGAACTTAAAAACAAAGAATTCCAGCATGGCTACACCAGCTTTCAATGCCACCAGCAGTGAGTGCACATTCGCCCTCCCCACAACCTCACCAGCGTCTGCTGTTGGCTATTTGGTTGACCGTCTCACCCATCCTAGCTGGGGTGACATGGGTCCTGCCAATCCTCTCCCTGATTGCTGAAGACGCTCAGCACCTTCTGGCACAGTTTTTAACCACTTGTCTTTCTGCCTCTTTCCAGAGTCACAGCCCATTCTTTAATGGGGTCATTTACTTTCTTGACTTTTTTTTATTCTTTATATATTCAAAATAGCGATCAACTGTCAGACAGATAGCTGGCCAAGATTCACTCCCACTCTGTAGCCTTTGTTTTACTCAGGTGATTGTTTTCTTGGCTACACAAAAGCTTTTTAGTTATTGGAGGTCCCATTTTTCAACTGTTATCCTTAATCCCTGAGTGGAGTTTAATTCAGAAAGCCCTATCTGTGCCAATATTTTGTAGGGTAGTGCCTGTGTTTTCTTCTGGTAGTCTCAGTGTTTTAGGTTCTAAGTTTTTATTACCTTGGTTTTTTTTTATTGTTGCTGTTTGTGTGTGTGTGTGTTTATGTGGTGTGTGTGTGTGTGTGTGTACTAAAGCATACATGTAGAAATCAGAAGACCACTTACGGGAATGTTTTCTTCCACCACTGGAGCCAAGGATCAGACTCAGGCAGTCAGGTTCGGCAGCAAGTGACTTTCCCCTCTGAGCCAGTTTTTGGTCCATGAGAATTCTTTATGAAGAATGACTTTCTCCCTCAACAGTGTTTGTTGTTTGCAGTATGCAAAACTTGCACATATTTTGTAATACTTATTGTTTAGTGTCATTAAATGTTGTTACATATTTTAAGTTCGAATTTTTGTTATCTACATAAATATAACTGACTTTCCTATATTTACTTTATATCCAGGAACCTTGCTAAACTTCTTGGTCTCACTAGACTGTTGCAGTTACCTTTCCTGCAACAATGGGCACATTGCGCAGCATCGCACCCTCCCAGGGGACACATCTTCTTGCTTGGGTTTTCAGTGTCTTTGCCCCTGTGCAGTTCTTGCAAGTTGCCACATATTCTGTCACCTGCTAAGGAATATGAGGATGGTGCTTTCTGGGGTTCCTGGTCCTCTTCTCCATCTTTCATGATAAAGGAGACCCTGAGGACCTGGGCCACCAGGGGGTCACAGTCAGCCTTAGTGGAGGAAGCTTGGGAGAGTAGGATTCCCATCTTTCCCTAGGCATAACTGTCTTCTCTCTTCAGTTCAGGACATGCATGCCAAGTTTCCTGACTATCTAAGCGGGTGGTCCTTGGCTTCTACCTCTCTTCAGTCTCTGTGTACCTTCCCCTAATCCAGAAGTTGAGCAATGACTGTTACCTTTTTCTAAATACAGAGCCTATAGCTGGGAGATCTCCCTTATCTCAGCCATTAATTTCTTTAATTTCTACAACCTCTAAGTAGGATCCTTCTCCCCCTCATCCATGAGACTCTGGTTTCAAATTATAGGAGAGAACATTTGGGCACAGGATGGAAGTTCATGACTCTCTTCCACATAGGGGCACTCTTTCAGGCCCTGCCTTTCCCTGCTCCTTGCCCACACAGTCAAGGCTAGTGGAGAAGAGCTATAGACAGATCTGGGGACTCCCTGTATTAGGAACTCCGAGACTCTAAACTGATACATAGCTCATACTCAGCTGTGATCTTTTTTATCCACCATGATAGTGCTGTCTGTCACTATCCTGGCCATGGTTGACATCACCGTACCATGTGATTTCCTGGCCACAGGTGACATCACCACGCCATGTGATTCTCACATAGCATCCTTCAGGAAGGTGCTCACCTGAGTGCCATGCTCCATTTAACAATTCAAGAAACACGACCCCCGTTTAGATCTCCTGGCTCTTTCTTGTTGTTGGCTATGTTCAGTTACAGCTTTCTATACCCTAAGCTAAACCAGAACACCATTTTCCCTCCAAAGTGAAAATGAAGTTCCTGAAGACTAACAAGCAGAGGTTCTCCTAATCCATAATCCTGAGTTCGCTTTCCACCCTTTGCCAGTCTCGTTTGCAAATTCAGCATCGTGCCATGGCAACGCCTGGGTCATAGCTCAGAACCTCCATCCTCCGTCTCTAGAGGTCTTTATGAGGCAGTGTGCGGCTGATGCTTTGCTAAAATTGCCAGTAGGAAATCAATGCCTGTCAACAGGGTTTAATGTATGTATGATTGAGTTTCTTAAGGAGGCATGGTGACATGCTGAGGACAAACGAACTTTAACTTCTACAGTGAAGTGCTTTTGACCTTCCTGACACAAACACAAGGAAATAAGTACAGAGTTTTAGCACCCATGTAAGAAGCTGAACAGAGTGGCATGTGCCTATAATGCCAGTATGGAGACTGTAGAGACAGGAAGACACCCACGGGCTGCTGGCCTAGCATCTAGCTGAATCAATGAGCTTGAGGTGCAGTGAGCGACACTGTCTGAAAAATAACGTCAAGAGTAATAAAAGAAGTCAGTCTCTGGGCTCTACATACTCACACACACGTGTATGCACACAAATAAAATAAAACATTAATGCATTTCACGTTAGCTTAAAACATGATACCACAATGCTGCCCATTTGGAACAGGAGACGCTTTCTTTTCGGTACTAGAACTGTGCTCCTAACTGCTCCTTTGCTTCTAAGATAGACTTCTCTAGTGACCCTGTGGCTATGTCCTTGACCTAAGGCAGTGGTTCTCAACCTTCCTAATGCTGGATTCCTTTAATACAGTTCCTCACATTAGGGCAACCCACAACCATAAAATTATTTTTGTTGCTACTTCATGACTGCAGTTTTGTTACTGTTATGAATCATAATGTAAATATCTGGTAAGCAGGATG